AAGGGCTTAATGCTGAAATTTAAAAAATTATAACGCAGCATCCGATAATAAACCATGCACTCTTCTCATAATACCAGAACCAAGCATAATTCAATGGAGAGATCAAAATAGGTCAGAATCATGGGAACCTTTAGCAGTAGCTCTTGCTGAAATTGGGTTTAAAGATCTAGCACACAAAGTCAAAAAAAATTTAATCCACCTTCTGTACTTAAATCAGAACCTGAAGATAAAGATGACTGTAAGGGAGTTTATTGTAATCTCTGTAAAAAATACCATCTTAAACCTGAAGACATTCAACAAGAAGTACCAAGTAAGTTGTGCTTCACATTGTTAAATAATGCTATATACTTCATAGACATTGACTCTCCTCCTGATATGGTTGATCTTATTAACTTGGTAGCAGCGAAGATTCCAGACAAGTTTTATCAATTTGGAACAGCAGTTCGTTTGAATGATGGATTCTTAAATAGTCTCTATGACACTTATCATAATCCCATGGATAGATTTATTGCTGTTTTCAATAGGTGGAAAGGACAATGATCCTAACACATACATGTGGAGTACTGTTATAACAATACTTCAGTCTGATGCTATTGGAGCTCATGCATTAGCTCAAGGCGTTATTGAGCATCTAAAGCAGAAGTGACAGTCTATGCTTTGAGTTAATTTAATTTTGGAGATTGTGAATTTTTATTACAAATAACACTACTAATATAGTTTGCTGACACTAATATTCTTTATTTGCATGTAAGTAGTTTTTGTAAATTTTTCACACTTGGGTGAAACTAAAATTTGACCAACGCCCACACACAAGACAAAATTTTATAAAAGATTCAAAGATTTAGTGGATATGCAATGTTACAGCACTACGATAAATGAAAATGTAATATATTATGCTTATTTTTTCATAATTACAGTATAATCAATTATTGTGTTTGATCTTGAAACATTGTTTAACTGATAAGCAGTACCTAGTAATAAGGAATAATATTAATGACAACAGATGGTACACGTAATAATCATTATTTACCAGGAGGAATGAGGACATACTCATCAGTACCCACTTCTACTTCTTGGTCTTCCAATACCGCTAAAACTTTTCCTTTCAGAACACGAAACACCTAAAAGGGTAGCATTCTAAAATTCATACAATATGAAGCACTTTAATGCTGGAATTAAAAAATAGTATCTTTAGGCAGTGTCCCATAATAAACCATGCACTCTTCTCATAATACCAGAACCAAACCTACATGTAACTTTAACGATAGGAAAAGCCAAAAATGCACATATAAATTTGTACAGTGTACATGCATATATGTATGCAAGCACATGTACCGTATAGCGGGTATATTTGATCTGGAAAAATGTTCGTTCTAAGCAGGATTAGAAATTTTCGTTTGTTTTATTTTCGTTCTGAGCAGCCATTTTGCACACGTGGCATTGAGGAAACGCCCTTTTCGTTTGGAAAATGTTCGTTCCACAAGGAATGAGAACGAAAAGAAGGAAATTAAACTCGAATGAAATATACCCGCTATACGGTACTTAATTCTTAATTGTAGTCTTCTTATTGACGCTATTACATGTACATGTACTGCTTGATTGCCTACATACATGTTCATGTACATAGACTCTTACCATTTCACAGTTCCCATTCTGTGCCATCGGCTTCTCTGATCCTTTCTTTAGCTCCATCTCTCCTTTTTGATAGTCGTCTGTTCCCATCACTCTATTAATGATCAAATCATCTCCAGGTTGTAGATCCATTCCATCTACATTACACAGTTGCCCATGAGACAGTGGAAACACTACAACACAGAGCACATGATAATACTATAATCACATTTTATGGGGATTTGAAGAAATAAGGACTAGCATACATGTACATGTACATGTGATTCCCCAAAGGATTGCTAATACATGTACCGTAAATCTTCTAAAAATTCGGCAAATTAAATTCACCTTAAAGTCAGTAATATTGAAAAATTAGAGGTTAAAAATGTTCTTTTACTTTTAAATAATTTTTATTGACTAAATTGGAGGGAGGGTCATTCCAAA